AGTTGTGGTCCATTAGTCCTTTGGACTAATCTTTCCCTTGTGTCTTTGGTTTTCTTCATTCTCCCTTGCTCCAAACAGGGTGAGACCAGTGGAGTATCTTAGATGGCCCCTCACAAGCTTTTAAGACCCCAGACACTACTCACTAAAGTAGAATGTAGCACATTTTCTTTATAAACTATGTTATGCCAATTGAATTAGATGTTCCCCGAGACCATCGTCCCCACAGCCCTCAGCCCAGTAATTTGGTCCATCAGGGAGTTTGGATGTGTCTATGGAGCGTCCATGACCTTGCCTCCATCAAGTTGTGCTGGCTTCCCCTGTATATGTGTACTGTCTTACCCTTCACCAAAGTTACCACTTATCTATTGTCTAGTTAGTGTTTTTCCCTCCCCACCCCTCCTTTCCCTCATAACCATCAAAGATTGTTTCATTTTGTGTGTAAATCTTCTCATGAGTTTTTATAGTAGTGGTCTATTTGTCCTTTTGTGATTTACTTATTTCACTCAGCATAATGCCCTCCAGATTCATCCATGTTGTGAGATGCTTTGCAGATTCATCATTGTTCTTGATTGTTGTGTAGTATTGTAATTGTGTGTATGTACCATAGTTTGTTTAACCATTCATCTGTCGATGGGCACCAAGGTTGTTTCCATCTTTTTGCTATTGTGAATAATGCTGCAGTGAACATGCATAAGTCTTTTCGTGTAACAGCTCTTATTTCTCTAGGCTATATTCCTAGGAGTGAGATTGCTGGATCATATGGTATTTCTATTTCTAGCTTTTTAGGAAGTGCCATATAGTTTTCCAAAATGGTTGTATCATTTTGCATTCCCACCAGCAGTGCGTAAGCGTTCCAATCTCCCTGCAGCCTCTCCAACATTTGTTATTTCCAGCATTTTTTGATTCATGCCAGTGATGCTGGGGTGAGATGGTATCTCATTGTGGTTTTAATTTGCATTTCACTAATAGCTAGTGATCTCGAGCATTTCCTCACGTATCTGTTAGCCACTTGAATGTCTTCTTTGGTGAAGTGTCTGTTCATATCCTTTGCCCATTTTTTAATTGGATTATTTGTCTTTTTGTTGTAGAGGTATTGGATTTTCCTGTAGATTTTAGAGATTAGAACTTTGTCGGATATGTCATAGCCAAAATTTTTTTCCCAGTCTATAAGTTCTCTTTTTTACTCTTTTGGTGAAGTCTTTTGATGAGCATAAGTGTTTAATTTTTAGAAGATCTCATTATCTAGCTTATCTTCTGGAGTTTTTGTGTTGTTAGTTATGGTTTGTATCCCGTTACTGCCGTGTATTAGGGCCTCTAGCGTTGACCCTGTTTTTTCTTCTATGATCTTTATAGATTTTAGTTTTATACTTAGGTCTTTGACCCATTTTGAATTAGCTTTTGTGTATGGTGTGAGGTATGGTTCCTGTATCATTTTTTTGCAGATGGACATCCAGTTTTGCCAGCACCACTTGTTAAAGAGACTGTCTTTTCCCCATTTGATGTACTTTGGGGCTTTGTTGAAGATCAGGTGACAGTAAGTGGATGGATTTACATCTGGGTTCTCAATTCTGTTCTGTTGGTCAATGTGTCTGTCGTTGTACCAGTACCAGGCTGTTTTGAGTACCATAGCTGTATAGTAGGTTCTGAGGTCAGGTAGTGAGAGTCTGGAAAATTATTTTTTTAAATATGCAGTTCATAAGGTGCCAAGGTGGTTCACCTACTCAGCAACACCGTGGAAGTAAAGGTCTGGAGATCTGCTTCTGTAAAGATTACAGCCAAGAAAACCCTAGGGAGCAGTTCTACTCTGTAACACGTGGGGTCACCATGAGTCAAAATCTATTTGACTGCAACTAACAGCAACAACATGCAGTTCATGTTTTGAGCCTGTAAATCCTTTCAAAACAGATTGGTGATTAAAAACTTTGTTTTAGTCTTGCAATTTCTTAAACAATTATTGGTATCATTGGAAAGCAGCTCCAAATTCAAATGTATACAGATTATAAGAGAGCCCTCCCCCCCATCTCCCGCTCCCTCACCCTCCACCTCCCCTAACTAGATCTCTGCCACAGTGATCTTCGTGATGTCATGCACCTTCCCAGGCCATTACAAGGTCTCAGATTGTGAAGAAGAGTAGTGAATGGAAGCCAAAAGCCCAAACCCATAACACACAACTTAATACCTATAAAGAAGGGATCAGTGTAAGTGAAAATGGTTCCTTGTCTGGGCTGGGCTTGGCTTCCACAGGAGTCTCCCTCTGGCAAGCCCGGCCCCACTGGCCGCCTGCACATGCCTGCATGCTCTACCCTTCCCTCAGTTCCAATTCAAGAAGCATAGACTAAACACAATACGAACCATAAGTAACAATTCACAAGCACCAGAAGAGAGACTAGATAAATGGGAGCTCCTAAAAATCAAACACTTCTACTCATCAAAAGACTTCACCAAAAGAGTAAAAAGACAACCTACAGATTGGGAAAAAATTTTGGCTATGACAAATCCGATCAGTGTCTAATCTCTAAAATCTACAAAATACTGCAACACCTCAACAACAAAAAGACAAATAACCCAATTAAAAAATAGGCAAAGGATATGAACAGGCACTTCACCAAAGAAGATATTCAGGTGGCTAACAGACACATGAAGAAATGCTCACGATCATTAGCCATTAGAGAAATGCACATCAGAACTACAATGAGATATCATCTCACCCCAAGAAGGCCAGCATTAATCCAAAAAACACAAAATAATAAATGTTGGAGAGGCTGTGGAGAGACTGGAACACTTATACACTGTTGGTGGGAATGTAAAATGGTACAACCA